ATTATACTTTGCGGTGTACCGCGAAGAAAACTTGTCACACTTCCATACTCCAAAAACCTATCTGCAATAATTGAATAATTGAATAATTTAATAATTGAATAATGTCATAAAATAATTCAAAATAGGGGGTGGGCAAGTAAAAAATTGTGAGGGCAACCAAATTTGAGATTTTGGTTGCCCGAAGGGCAACCTAATATTTCATAATTCTGCGAGCACTGACCTAGGCTATGACAATATGTGGTGTTTTTTTGCAAGTCATTCAATTTAAACCTCACACAAAAGGGATAACGCCTCACACTGCGTTCATAGCTGAATTTTATGGACAAATTTACTAGTAAAAATGTTTCAATTTCAATTGGGAGAACACTCTAATGATAACAATAAAAAATAGTACAATTTTGTATGTTACTTATAACATAATAAAGGAGTAATTTTAACAACAAATACTATTTTTCATTTTTATTATTTACAATTTCATTATCCTTTATATAGCGTGCCTTGAATATTTTAAAATAATATAGTCTCTCGATAAAACATGCGTAGTAGTAGGCCTATTTAAAAAGTCATGGTTGAACGCGTTTTTGCAGACGTCAGAGATACTCAATGTTAATTAATTCAGACAACTATCACTATAAAAGTTGGTTTTTATTTATTATCAAGCCGTTTTCTAATCTCGTGTGGTAATATTTTCATCATATTTGCATTTTTGTGGTCCCATATGGTGTTGTGTGGTCCGTGTGGTATTTAGTAGGACCGGCTAACTCCCATTTTAGGAAGTAGAGGTAAGGCCTGTTTATACTTCAACGATAACAAAAAAAGCTAAAAAGCGATTGTTTATATAGATTAGAAAACAAAAGAAATGAGAAGCTTTTACAATAGAGCGATTTGATAATGATTTATTGTGTATACGATAACAAAATATTTTAACAAATCAAATCAGATGACGTCATAATCATCGAAAAACGATAAAATCGTTGCTACTACTACGATTTTAATGTTTTTCCATGATTATGATGACGTCATCAAATTTGATTTGTCATGTTGTTATCGCATAACTGATAAATCGTTATTGAATCGTTCTAGTGTAAAAATTTCTCTTTTTTCTTTTATTTTCTATATGAACCATTGCTTTTTGGATTTTTTTTATCGTTATCGTTGAAATATAAACAGGCCTTTAGCCTGGCCTCTATACTACGCTACAATGCGAGCCTAGCAAATTCAAAATGGGGACTAGGCCTAGGCAGGCCTAGCCTAGCTAGGCCTAGGCTTTTTTTAAGTAGGTCCATGAAGGCACTGGATGGTCTTACCTTTAACAACATTCCCTGAGATAGGCTTTGGGGGAGGATCAGGTGCTTTCTCGCCAACTCCAGCCATTCTTTGAACGCAACGGTAGTTCAACAATAACTTTTTAGCTTTTTTTTTATCGTTATCGTTGAAATATAAACAGGCCTTAAAAGTGCGGAGCAAATACGCAGAGCTGTGTATCGGAACTCAATAAGAATGTCTAGGACAACTTAAGCCTAACAATAGCTAACTATAACTATGTTATAGCTATATAACTATTACTATGTTATAGCTATAACTATAACTATGTTATAACTTAGGCCTTACTATATTTTTTTAACATTATTTTATTCCTGTGACCGCAATGTAAATAACTTCGTGGCTATTGTTACTAGTCTTAAACCAATCTACCCGTAGGCTATTATTTTTATCACTGTGGCTATGCTTACGCCGAAGTTATCTAAATCCCAACACACTGATAGGTCGACTTGACTTTACCCTTACCTTAAAACTAACTTTCGCTATCTTAACGCACTGCATCTCGGCGTAAGCATAGCCACTTGGTATTTCCATGTTTATGTGTCATGTCATAAAAGAAATACATTGAAAATGATATAGGTCATTCTCATGTATACATTAATTTATCAAGTTCGGAAATACAAACAGTCATAGTTAAAGATGTTGCGGCTTTTTTTTTATAGGAAATATTTCTTGTTAGAAAATTGGAATGCATTAGAGTGCTGTTGTGTTCTAATAACAGGCTCACATTGCTTTTTGCGAGGAGATACACCGTCATGCATATTCATGCTCATTTGTTTACAAGTGAAAGTATAGACCTATAATTTCTGCCTTAACTGTGAGAGAAAATAATGTACCATCAATCGTCAGAGACGTGTAGTGTTGACTACAACAATGTTCTTTTGATCCATCACAGAAGCTGTTCAATAAAAACGGCACAGTACGTATTTCTTTGCACTCAAAAAATAGTAATTTATTATTCGTAAAAGTATGTTACCGATTACATAAATATATAACATAAAAATATTTTTTTTTCTTTTTTGTCCAGTTCCAATATTTGAAACAGTGAAGATGTCAGCTCGGTTACCTGTCTCTTATACACATCTAGATGTGTATAAGAGACAGGTATGGCACATAGACACAGCTCTGCGTATTTCCAACATCGAATAACATTGAAGTTCTATTTTCTTCCTCCATCGTGTACTCAACAAGATGGAAAGCGCCACATTCATGCTTAATATACATATTACAACCATAAATAAGGACCTCCGACTAATTATGTTATTAATCATTAATTATTATACTAGCCTAGCCAGAAAAAGCCAATTTGAGAAGGCTATCTGATTCAAAAGTACTAGGAATGAAATTCGAATCGTGCTCGCTGTGTACCGCAAAGCTCGAGTTTGAAACATACGGGTACTAATTGTAGGATTACTCAAAAGTTTACATGTTAAATGTAGGGCTCCATTTAAAACGATGCTTAGGCTTATTTTGATTGGCTGAATCTACAGCAGCCTTCTTGTTGAGTACCGGTACACAGCTCTTTTGATTATGACGTCATCTGATTTGATTTGTTAAAATATTTTGTTATCGTATACACGATAAATCGTTATCGAATCGTCCTAGTGTAAAAACCTCTCTTATTTCTTTGGCTTTCTATATGAACAATAACTTTTTAGCTTTTTTTTTATCGTTATCGTTGAAATATAAACAGGCCTTTAGCCTGGCCTCTATACTACGCTACAATGCGAGCCTAGCAAATTCAAAATGGGGACTAGGCCTAGGCCTAGGCCTAGGCTTAGCCTAGCTAGGCTTTTTTAAGTAGGTCCATGAAGGCACTGGATGGTCTTACCTTTAACAACATTCCCTGAGATAGGCTTTGGGGGAGGATCAGGTGCTTTCTCGCCAACTCCAGCCATTCTTTGAACGCAACGGTAGTTCAAAATTAAAGCGTAGGCTTGGAAGTAATGACAATGTAAACAACTTACACTGTAAGCCTAGGCGTACGGCTGAGGCTATCGGAACTGCCGCAGTGCGAAAAAAGCTGCTGTTTTCTATCGGCACTGCCGCAGTGTTAAAAAGCTGCTGTTTTCTATCCCACTCGAAAAGCTGCTGTCTATATATATGACAAACATTGCGAATCAACGGTGCGTAACCAATAGAAATAAGATAAGAGCTTTTGGGCTGATTTTCTGACATCATGTTATTTAAAAAATCATAACTCCATAACGGGGCGTCGTATCCAAAATAAAATTCCAGAAAAATGTTCTTAAAAGACTAGTCTACACCACTATATGATTGAAAAAATGAAAAATGTTTTTGACCTCTGAAATCAAGATGGGAAAAAAACCTATCTAAGTAGTGTATTAAAATAGGTATATGCGAGTACTGGTACTAGTCATACTCTGGACTCGGCGAAAAAAAACCATAATGTGTCTCTGAAATCGATTGTAGTGCATATCATATTATAATGATTAAAGAGAAAGGACCCGTCGGCCCGACATCGCCCCCCCCCCCTCGGCCCGGGACCCCACCAAATTTGTCGAAAGAAAAAATATTAAAAATGAAGATAAAAAGAAAATTATATTCACAATTTGAAGTGTGAGTGGCATTTCCGGCCATCAAGACGTGCCATAGTAGTACAGTCTTATCTCAGCCCCACAAGGCCCGGCAAGTACGTGTCTGAAATCGACTGTAGGACATATATTATATCTCTTGCTTTTCTTGTTTGTTTCATTTTTTTTTATGTTTGTAAGCTCAACGTTTTCAGCTGCCTGGCTGCTTGTTGTGCAATTTTATACCGTAATAAATAAATAAATAAAATATCCAGTGGCGGAATAAATAGTGGGGGAGGGGGAGTTGCCGGCCGCCCGGGGCCCCACTAAATTTGTCAAAATATGTTTTAACTAGAGATAAACTTCATAATTTTGTCTGTGAAGTGCCATTTCCGGCCACTAAAGGTGCCATATTCATAAATGTTCTTACCTCAGCCCCAACTATGGTGGATCTGAGGTGGTAGAGACTCTCCAACTGTGAAAGTCCCTCCCTGGCCTCAATTTTCTGGATGCATATTATATCATTTATTCGTCGTTAAAAAAATTTAGAATAACAATGCACACCTAAAATTCCACGATGGAATTGGTGACCGGAACCCAAAAAGGGCCACTAGTTTCAGAAATGCACAGGCCCCCGGCCCCATCGTTACGCCACTGTCTGGACCAGCATTGTTTTAGTTACCATATGAGAGTTTCCTGTGTTAAAAACATGATTTACTATACTATACTTCTTTGTAAAACATAACTTTTTAAGAACATTTTGCTGGAAACAATTTTTGGATACGCTCGGTTATGGAGAACTAGCGCGAATAAGCGCCCGGGCGCTTAAAATATTTTTTGCACTTTGGAGCGCTTTAACGGGCGCTTATGGAAATAAATGAAAATCGAGGGGTTCTTATAGGAAATTATTTTAATAATTAAAAATTCAAGAGGCACTTTTTGAATGAAAAAAAGATTATATAAGGACATTACGAATGGTGGTTCAGAGAACATGGCTCATAACAAGAATGCGTGAATATTTACATAACAGCAAAATAGCAGATGCAATTAGTGGTGAGTAGTGGTTACTGCGCTTGTTGGCCATCGGCCGATTGAGATTAGCAGGATGGCAGGATCATTGTATTTTTCTTGAAAACTCAGATGAGAATATGCTTAAGGTCGAAAAAAGGAAAAGAGGAGTAGGACTAGACATAGACAAATATGTAAAAAGATTAAAGTTGGAAATATACTGTCTGTCCAGGGATCGGAGCTCTCATCTGTCCAGGGATCGGAGCTCTCAACTGTCCAAGAGAAATATCCTTATTTAGATATTGACTTAAGAAGAATGTGTTTCCACTCTACAGCTCAAATCATGCCAACAACCACAGTCCCAGGATTGATTGGATTATTGACTTGCTAAAAAGAAAATCTTATGAGGGGGCGCTTATTCAAATGGGGCGCTTATTCGCGCCAGTACGGTATGATTTTTTAAATAACATGTCAGAAAATCAACCCAAAAGCTTATCTTATTTCTGTTGGTTACGCACCGTTGATTTGCAATGTTTGTTATCACTTCAAGATGTCTACCGATTGGTGAAAATGCCGATTAATCAAATGGATGTTTTCATCGATAGATTATGGTATCAATAATTGTTTAGGTCTGGCCTAGCCTATATTATTGTTAACAATATTATATATGTTTTACAATTAATTATAATTAATATTAATTATTAAATATATAGGCCTACATATGTCTAGGCATATTCATAAACAAAAAATTTCATAAATAAAATAATAGTACAAGGGCCGGCGGAACGTTTTTCAAAGTGGGGGGGGGGCACTTATAAGTTGAATGGGAATATAAAATCATGCAGGTCTGGAATCAAATCTAGGGGGTCCGGGTCCTCCCCCGGGAAAATTTTGATTTCTAGATGGCGGGAAATGACTTTTCTCGGCTTTTGAGCTAGGTGTAGCCTTTTCACCATCCTTATTAAGAACAACCTGTGGTTGATCTTTAGCCTTAGCTGAGTAACCAAGGTCTTTCAAAGTTTTCCGTATTCTTCGGATTGTTTCTGTTTTCGTCTATTTTATTTACAAAAAACTGACGTTTAGTTTTGTTGATGTTTTTCTGAACCCTGTTTCTAAGCTTACGAAACCTAGAGTAAAGGTCAAGAGCATGGCCACTCTTCCTCAACCTTCTCAGCAACGTATCTCTTTCATGTATGGCATTCAGGATTCTCCTGTGATCCATGGTTCAGTGCGCTGTCTGATCCTAATGGTTTTGATAGGAGCCAACATGTCGAGAGCCCTGATAAACAGTTTGGAAAAGAGCCGCCATGCACTATTAACATCAGTCGAAGAAAGAACAGAAAACCAGTCAGTATTTCTTAATTCATTTAAAAATGTATCTTTATTATAGTTTTTAGTAGATCGAATTGTTATTTCCTTATGGCATCTAACTTTACACTTTGCTATTTTCCTAGTACAGAAAATCACGAAATGGTCACTAAGTCCAGTGCGAATTACACCAGAGTTACTTACTTTTTCTTTACAATTGCATAGAATGTGATCTAAAAGAGAGTGCTCAGTTCGTTTGTTTCTATTTTTATATACAGTACAGCTGGGAAAATAATTAGTACTTATAAATAGAATTATATTTTGATATAGCAACGGATCTTTCCTAATGGGACAAATGTTTATGTCCCCTAATATATATACTTCACAGTCAGAAGGTAAGTTAGATAAAACAGAATCAAACTTGTCCAGATATGTTGTACCGCTGTCAGGAGGGCGATAAAATGATCATACGATGATTGGTTTGTTCCGAGAGGTAGGAGAAGCTCCACCCAAGCTATCTCTAAATCGCTTCTTTCTAGATCTAAACTGCCTCCACCAACCCTATTCCGGTCTTTTCTATGAATTGCATAGCGATCAATTGCAACTTCGTTGTCGTTAAAGGTACCATCAAGTCGAGATTTTGTTATTGCAATGACCGAAGGATGATATTGATGAGCAAATAACCTTAACTCCGGTAATTTTGGCGGTAATGATTGAGCATTAAGATGTAAGGCTAGCGAGTGAGACGTTATCGAATTCAACTTCAAGGTTTTCCCCTCTTGAAAACGGTCAGGTACATTTTCTCATTCTTATAAATAGGCCTGATAATGTGTGTAAACATACATTTAAAAAAATTAGTAGTTGCGTAGGCCTACGTATTCTTTATTCAGTGAATCGATAAGCTCCCCCGGGAAAATTTTGATTCCTAGATGGCGGGAAATGAGCTTTTCCGACTTCTGATGTGTCTTAATTACTTTTAAGTTCTTCAAAATTCAAGGTTTTCCACACTTGAAAACGGTCAGGTAATTTTTTCCCATTGCTTTTACAGTAAAAATATGCCTTATGTGTGTATACATACATAAAAATTAAAAAAAAATTAGTAGTTGCATACGATTTTTTCCACGAATCGATAAATCCCAAAAAGAAAGGGGGTCTGGGGGTTCTCCCCCGGGAAAATTTTGATTCCTAGAATGCGGAACTTAGTTTTCCTGACTTTTGAGGTGTATTGTAGTTACTTTTAAGTTCTTAAAAATTCAAGGTTTTTCCCTCTTGAAAATTATTATAATGATTTTTATTTTATAATGAACCCAAAGAGAAAAGATAGGTTTTCCGCTCTTGAAAACGGTCAGGTAATTTTGTTTCCATTGTTATTACAGTAGATAGGCCTTAGGCCTATGTGTGTATACATACATAAAAAATTGTATACATACTTAAAAAACTTCTTTTTCCATGAGTCGATAAATCCCAAAAAAGGGGGGTCCGGGGTTCTCCCCCGGGAATATTTTGATTCCTAGAAGGCGGGAAATGAGCTTCCTGACTTCTGAGGTGTCTTTTAATTACTTTAAATTCTTCAAAATTCAAGGTTTTCCCCCTCTTGAAAATGATTAAATGAATCAATGAACACCAAAGAAAAAGGTGGTCCGAGTTCTCCTGGGAAAATTTCGATTTCTAGATGGCGAGAAATGAGCTTTCCTGACTTCTGAAACGTCATTTATAAATGACTTTTTAATTTCTCCAAAATTCAAGGGTTTCCCCTCTTGAAAACGGTCAGGTAAATTTTTCTCATTTTTTATTTTATGTGTGTATACATAAACAAATGAGTAGTTGCATGTGTATTTTTTTTCCATGAATCGATAAATCCCAACAAGAAAGGTTGGTCCGGGGGTCCTCCCCCGGGAAAATTGTGATTCCTAGATGGCGGGAAATGAGCTTTTTCGACATTTAAATTGTGTTTTAATGAATTTTATGTTCTTAAAATTTTTTTAATTTTCTTAAGTGTAAAAAAAAATAAAAAAAAAAAAAATCAGCTCACGGGTCCTGAAAAGGTAGGTCTAGAATTCTTCTCCCCTCAAGGGAGGGGTCAGGACCGATGACACCCCTCCCCAAGGTCCGCCAATGTGAATTGCGAGAAAATGTAACTCGGTTGGGGACTGGATAAACATTCTCTTTCCCATCCTTCTCCCCTCTTTCTTTTCTTGCATTTCTTTCCGATCATACAAAAATCTCCAGACATTATATATTTTTTGCCAAACAATAATAAATAAAAATAATAATAATAATAATAATAATAATAATAATAATAATAATAATAATAATAATAATAATAATAATAATAATAATAATAATAATCTCTCTCATCATTCTTTATATCCAGGAAGGTCGAATATTAAGGATCTTCATGTTAAATCGCATGATTCTAGATGTAGCAATTTCAGGAGGTTACCTTGTTGGAGAATTAAATCAATCTTTATAGCAATCATACAAGTGTTGATTGGAGTATACATAATAGCAGTACTAAAATAGTAAAATACACTCAAACACATCGAGCAAAAAACAGGGACAGGACAGACATCAATATAGAATTCAACATCGCGACAAAACAGTTATTACATTAAAATCATAATCATTGCAAAAGCCCATAAAAAATTAAATTATTACATTACAATTGTTAAAAAATACAGAAGTGGCTTGATATAGTTCCAAAATTGAATTCAATCGTCATACATAATTTATTTAACATTAGATTTAATTTGGGACCAGTTTTTGTCTTGTACATTTAAAGTAGCTGAAGTATAAGTTTCATGCCACTTCCTCGATCCACTTCCTACCATTAGACCATTGAGATTCACGATTCAGTTTACATTAAATTTTAAGAGCATGAATAACTCTCTTATCTGCTTTAACCATGCATCTGGCATATGCCAGAGAATGAGACTCTCGATAAACGTCAGATAGCAGAGGCATTGACAAACCCTCAGGACTAAATAAAAAAAGCTGGCGTAGATCCATTTATAATAATAATAATAATAATAATAATAATAATAATAATAATAATAATAATAATAATAATTATTATTATTATTATTATTATTATAAATATTATTAATAATAATAATAATAATAACAGTAACAGTAACAATAACAATAACAATAACAATAATAATAATAATAATAATAATAATAATAATAATAATAATAATAATAATGGATTTATTCGGTGTAAACACCAAAGATAGCCCACGAAAGTCTAGAAGAAGACTTATTTCCAGTGGGGTCCTTCTGGTGGTGATTGGACAGTACACCGGGAGACAATCCCCTACTCTTTTCCGAAGAGTGTACTACTCTTTTCCGAAGAGTGTACTGTGTTCTTTAACGTGCACATGGGCCATAAATGCACACGGGACCAACGGCTTAAACGTCTCATCCGAAAGACGGTGCGCTATGTAACTTGTATCTCAGCCCACTAGCTGAAACACAAGGAGAGGCAGCGATGGGAATTGAACCGGGGACCTAGAGATCTCCACGGTTCACCGCACACACAGTGGCTACCACCAGATTAGCCGACTGAGCTAAGCTGCTCTCTTAAATAATAATAATAATAATAATAATAATAATAATAATAATAATAATAATAATAATAATAATGTAAAAGTGCTCGAATAATACTATAATGAATGAATGAAAATACTTTAATTGACCTTTTACGATAGTTTGAGTATTACTGACCTCTATATACAACACTTACATTAATACTTGCTTGTTTCGTCTTGTATCTTATCGGTAGTATTTAAACCGTTAGTAGCATAAGCGTTATTACCTGATGACGTAGGACACGTCGAAACATGTCGTTCATAAGTTTTATATACTTTATTAGATGCATTACAGCATTTCCATTTGCATATCTTATGTTCTTATTAAATATTCGAAATAATTGTTATGAATGAATATTATTCTAAGTTTAAAAAATGGTTCGTGTGGGAATCGAACCCACCCAAGGGACGTATCCAGGGTGGGAGAAATTGTTGGCGTTTAATTTTGACTATAATGGTGATGTCGTGATGATGAATTTTACTAGGCCTATATAAAAGTGTCATTTCCGGCCATCTCGAGAGGTACTATTTCCTCAAATTTTCTCACCTCAGCCCCAGCCATGGTGGGGCTGAGGTGGATGTGGAATCACGTTTTTGAAGTAGGCCTATGTAAAGTACATACTCAAAGATAATGTTTTTAAGCTTTGTTTTCTATGGTATATCACACACACACACATTAATTAAGATCTCTATGGTTGTCAAAAATCTCTGATACAAGATCATGAGAATTTTTTCCTTTTTGGCGCTTCATTTTGACTAATGGTGATGTTGATGAATGATGAATTTTACTAAAAGTGTCACTTCTGGCCATCTAGAGGTACTATTTCCTCAAATTTTCTCACCTCAGCTCCAACCATGGTGGGGCTGAGGTGGGTGTCGACTCACGAAATGCCCTCCCCATCCACCTTTCAAAACAGATCTGTGCCCTTCCCTGGGTATGACATTAAACTCCATCGAGTCGGCTCCTGATGTATGTCTTAGTGACTGATGTTTGTTTTTAGGATGTGATCTGTTTTTTTTTTTTATTATGACTATTTTGGATAAAGAATGTTTTGAGCAGAGGTGGATTCAAGGCCCCCACCCCTCCCTTAATTTTTTTTTAAGGAAAAAAAAAGAAAAATATATTCAAATTGAAGTGCGAGAGTGTAATTTCCGGCAATCCAGAGATGCCCTAATCATAAATTTTCTTACCTCAGCCCCAACCATGGGGGCTGAGGTGGGTGGTTTGCCGGTCTGTGAAAGTCCCTCCCTCGTTCACCTCTCTTTCGAATTCCTGGACCTGCCACTGTTGATTTATTATATAATTATTTTTGCGCTTATTTATAATGTGTCTATTGCAATTTGAAATTTATCCTCTCAAACAATCCTAAGAACGTTTAGAGTGGTGAATAAAAAAACCCCCTTTAGCAGAGGTAACAATGTGTAAAAGGTACAAGAAGAACATGTAACTTACAGCTTCATTGTACAGAACTGCATGCACAAAAATAATAATAGTGCTCACGCTTTCATTTTCTCCCGACTTGACTATTGCAACTCTCTTTTATTTAACATTCCTAAAATCCAAATTAACAGGCTTCAACGACTACAAAACTCTGCTGCACGCATACTAACATTTACTAACAGACGCACTCATATTACCCCCATTTTACCTGAACTTCACTGGTTGCAAATTGATTAATTGACAAATACATTAATCAACTTCTTCCCAAATATATGCCTGGCCGTTCCCTACATTCATCTGATCTCAATTTAATTTCTGTCCCTCGCACCAACACTAAGACCTTCGGACACAGATCATTTTCATTTGCTGCAGCCACACTCTGGAACGCACTACCACTTCACATTAAAAAATCAACATCAATTGCTTTATTTAAAAAATCACTCAAAACGCACTTATTCCAACAATAACATGAAGCGCCACTGATAATTACTTCGGTTTTTTAAATGGCGCTATATAAGTTCTTACCTTATTATTATTATTAAGAACTTTAAGTACAGAATGTAGCAGGAGATAACTTTTTGTTACATGTGACACCAATTCATTATGAAACATTAGAAGATACTTGGTTTATAAATTATACAGTGGTGGCTCCAGAAATTTGCTGAAGAGTGATCGGGTTCCCGGTCGGGATCCGGAAAAAAAATCAGGTTCACAGCTAGTATGGACCTTCTTTTAGACCACTATATTAGGGATTGCCAATCAAAATAACTTTGAATAGTTGAATTAATTTGTTATTTTTTTATCTCATGTGGCATAGGACGACACTGGCGTCACCACTGGGTGTATATGGTAATTGCAAGGTCAAATCCTTCTAATGTGTTTTAGATCACAAAACATTTTGAACTGCTTGGATTTTCTAGGCAGTCTATAGTAGACCTATTAACTTGTTATCATTCATAGAATATGTACATGATAGGAAAACCTAACTTGGTATTCAGTCATCCAGAACTTGTGCTTGTCCTCCTTTGCCTTCTAAGTTAATTGATAATAGTCCCTCAAATAGAAATAACATTTTAAGATAAATTGTTTTACCTAAAAGAAGGGCCTCAATGTGTATTGATGGTTAAAGAATTTGTTTGTAATAAATAAAACCATGATGAAAATGCTTATATTTAGTTTCAAACACACGTGTGTAGCCTAATATTATAAATAAGATAAGCCCTATGTCATATTGTTTTCTATATAGGGGGTGCAGGTAGGGTGGGTATGATAAATTACTAACCGGAAAAATTATTACCTTTGCCCCCCCCCCCGTCCCACGCCTGCATGTCATATAGGAGCTTGTTGAACACTCAGAAGCTGTGTTGACGATTTAATTCACTTCAATTCAATTTATTGCTTTTGTGTGCAATCAAGATCTACTATCCACTAAAAAACATACACTACAATACAATAAATTTTACAGTTGGTTCTGTCTGTAGAAGGCAAGTTCATATTTGCCTCCATAAAATAATTGAAAATTGAGCAGATCATTCCCCTCATGGGGCTGCTGATCATGATTTGATACAAATGGCAAAAGCTGCCTCGATGTATGACAATCAAGCCGATCATTCTGCCAATAATAATTAGAAACAAAATGTTGGTCCAACTGCTAAAACCCCATAATAAAGCACAATTAGGCCTAAAAAAAAAATTGTTTTGCCCTCCAGCGCTCGCCCCTAGCTAACAGAAAAATAGTGGCATTTTTAAGAAAGTTTTTTTTTTCGATTTTTTGTTCACAAATTTTATAAAGTGATCTTTTATTTTTCTCCATTTTCCACATGAAAGTTGTCTGAATTTGGTGTCTGACGTAAGATATCGCCATCCTAGGCCTATATTCATTGCAAAATATTGATTACAGGTTATTTTTATTCAGTCTGATGAATACCTTTTGAAAACAAATAGTGAGACAGGCTTAATTGCAAGTATTGCGATTTAATATGCTAATTTTGGTGACAAAATGAAAACTAAAAAAATACACTTTTTTGCGCTCACCCCTCCTATACAATTTTCAGCATTAAAGGGCAAACAAACAAGTTATTTTTTAGGCCTTTATATAAGTGTGCATAAAATAAGGAACACCCTGGATGACTTAAAAATAGATAATTTTGAAATTGTGTTAAAAACTGAAGCTCCTGAGGATATAAGAAGGTTTGATGTCAGCTGTTGTAAATCAGTCCTCAACTTCAGTCATATTATCAAACATAACTATATCCTACACCATCATTATTGTCCACTGGCTGTCTTGCATTGATTGCCATCTTAGCTGTATCATTCTGGTTCCACAGTATTTGGCACATACCATTCATGATGTTGGCTATATCCTCAATCTCAGCATTTCCATCAATTATCTTAGATCCATCACTCAACAACCTGAATCGACTTATATTTTTAATGTTTAATAAAGGGATGTTGTACCGTTGTCTGAAATTGCAGATCTCTTTTGTAGTGATGTCGCTGTTGCGTAGTTGATCAAATTTAGTTCCGATCACAATCTTTGGAATGTCTGATTCACAAACATGCAACATCTGAACAGGAAGGTCCTCAAAACTTGGTCGGTCAGTATATGAAAACAGGAAGATCATAGCGTTGGCAATGTCTGTACATGCCTGCAGATAAGAAAAACACTTGTTGCAAGCATACAGTATATCATAGTGTTGACAATGTTTTTACATGTTTGCAGAAAAAGAAAAACATTTGTTGCAAGCATACATCATCATAACAATAATAATAATATTAATATGCGGGTTTTTATATAGCGCTCAATACAACTAAGTCTCAATGCGCTTTTCAACATTATTACCCAAGTCATTGGCAAGGGCGTCGATCCGTGGCTGAAAGTGGGGGGGGGGGATGAGATGAAAAATAAAGTGAAGCCCCAGAAGCTCTGGCGCATATAGCCTTTTAATTGATTTTAAGCAAAGCAATTAACATTTATTTCCATACGAAATTTTCAAAATATCAAGTGGCGGATCCAGTAATTTGAAATAGAGCTGGGCCCAGAGAGGGACTTTTATAGATGGAGAGTGTAGCTGGACTACCACCTCAGCCCCACCATGGTTGTGGCTGAGGTAAGAAAATTTATGATTATGGCACCTCCAGTTGGTCGCAAATGGCACTGAATTTGAATATAATTTTAATTTTTCTCCACTTTTAAGTTTCGGAAAAAAAAAAATAGTGATGGTTAGCCGGCTGGGCCCCTTGAATCTGCCACTGAAATACTCATCATAAAAAGTTTTTAAAATTATCCTTTTTAGTCATAATTATGCCCGCTTATATATTTCGTGCAAACTAACATTCATAAAAATAATGATTTATTATCTACTGATTACTGCTCGTAACGTATTCAAAATTCGAACTATGAAAATCAAATAAGATAAACTTAAAACAGTCATTAATTTAGTCTTTTTTGCATGTACAGTACTTTTAAAATCAATCAAGAGGTTTTTGCTTTTCTCCTCTTTTTGAATTTCACTTTTGTGTAAGTAGTATTGCAAAAAAATTATTGTGAGTGTAAATAATACAGTCTAATTTACCATCAAACAGGACTAGGGAGATAAGGAGCACACAAAACATTAGTTAGCATTTTGATTTCACAAACATAAAGGTGATTTTCTTAATTTATCATTATCAGTGGCGGCTCCAGGAAAGCAAATTAGAGGGGAAACAGGGAGGGACTTGCAAGTTGGGAAAGAAAATTTATGATTATGACACCTCAAGATTGCCGGAAATGGCACTCTCAGACTTAAATTCTAATTATAATTTTCCTTTGTTTTTTTTTCCCTTTTTTTAAAAAATAATTTTGAAAAAATTAGGGTCGGCTCGGCCCCACTTGAATCTGCCACTGATTATTATGGCGTCATTGTGAGACTGCGTCAACATAACACTGGAGTTTGTAAACTTTTGGTAGGCTTATCACTTAATCGAAATAGGTAGACATCATATCAGTGTTAAAGGCTGAAATTATAAAAAACAGTAATCCTATGTATGTAGATAATATTAAACACTAGTATATACGTACAGGTCATAATAATATACAAAAAGAATAAATTGTTTATAGTAGAAATTGTGCACTTTTGAGTTTGGCCTAATAAGAATACATGCTTCCAATTTTAACAACGTTCAGTACATTGTTTTCACAAAAAATTTAGCCTCTGATAGTCGTTGCACCCATAAAATCGATCTAGTGGGTTTCTGAGATGGTTACGAAATGTTTAAACAATTGCGTTTTTACTCGGTTTTGGTCCAGAAAAAATACGTACTGAACTTAGAAAAGTGAACAGACAAAATTCATGAGTCATGCGTAATTGTTATTCTTTCCATTCGCTTTTAAAAGTGGGGTTTTAATTATAGAAGATTGGTGAAAAGTGGGGGGGGGGACAATCGACATGATGTCCTCCACACTTTGAAAAGTGGGGGGACGCGTCCCCCTGTCCCCCACCGATCGACGCCCGTGGTCATTGGAACGATGCCTATGGGGGAAATTCCATAGTTTGCTGCATGAAATATATCAGCGCATATTGCACCTGAACCTCCTTAGGTACCTACTTATAATCCTGGGTGAAGAGAAGCAATGAAGATAAAGTGCCTGGCTCAAGGACACAAGCGAAATGCACAGCAAGGGATTGAAACCCCGACCTCGAGGTTGGGAAACCAAACCGTTCCAGCTGCACCAAACCACTTCCACAAAGTGGTTTGGTGCATAAAAAGGACTTTGTTGATAAATAACACCATAATGTGTATCTAAGATCGACTGTAGAGCATATATCACATTATAACGATTAAAGAGAGGGGGGGGGGGGCCCCGTCAGCCCGACAGGGGCCTCCCTCTCGGACCGGGGCCCTACTAAATTTGTCAAAATATTTGTTAACTGGAGATAAAAAGAAAGTCATATTCACAATTTTATGTTTGTGAAGTGCCATTTCCGACCATCTAAAAGTGCCATATTCATAAAATTTCTTACCTTCTTGGTATAGACTTTCCCCCCTGGCCTCAACTTTCTGGATCCATATTATATCATTTATTCGTCGTTAAAAAACATTTAGAATAAAAATGCACATCGATGGAATTCCCCAAAAGGGCCACCAGTTTAAAAAATACACGGGGGCCCCGGTCCCATTGTTACGCCACTGATCATAGTGTTGACAATGTTTGTACATGCCTGCAGATAGGAAAAACACTGGTTGCAAGCATATTGTATATCTTAACATTGGTAATTGCATTGTAATTTTATATAAAAATTGTTTGGTTAGTTCTCGTTTGTTTCTTATTCTGTATTTTATATTTAATATTTTGGACTACAATGGAAACAAGTTTGCCTTATTTGTACTTTACTGTGTTTTTTATCCATGAATATTATTTTTGTATTCAGAATAAGAAATAAAATTTGGCATCACCACAGAAGAATATGACATATCATGATAGTTAATTAGTGATTTTGGAGGATAACTGGTCAGTATTTACGCTTTTCCAGATAAATCGAAATGGATGAATTTTGCAAATGTGTCACAAGCCTTTCCACAACTACATAGTAAAAATACAACAATCATTTTAACAAATACCTTTATCTGAACTTACTGGCAAAACATGATCAAATTTCTTTAGAATATTTTCTCCTGCATCCCATAATTGAAATTTAAACATCAACACTTTGCCACTTCCATCAGTAAGCTTTGCTGGCCAATACACCACTGATGTCTGCAAACCTATCGCAGAGAAGAAAGTTGATTAATGTCGTCATAATTTTATCTTTTAATATAATTTCCTATAATCACTATTCATTAAAACAGTAGTACTCAGGTACATTTAAAATATTTATTTAACAAACACAAAAACACATACAAAATGTCATTTACAAATTATAGATTATTCCTGTTTGTCACAATACCACTTGATATCATTTTATCACTTTGTTATCATTGCAAAAAGCGTTCATGCGGATGCCCTTTTCTTCACTGACAAACAATTGATCCCAATTTCTAACATAATTATTAAGAAGTTGTATCTTAATTTTCATTGCAAATGTTAATTGATGATAACTAATATAATGCAAGCTTTTTGTGTTTTTAGTACATTTTGATGGTAAATTATTAGGTTTTAAAATGCCTATTCCAAAAAGCCTATTCTAAACTATTAAGATTATGAGGTCATTCAGGCATAACCAACGACCAAAGGCGCCACCTGGTGTTGCGACGACGACTGTGGTACTCTATAGAGTTCAGTGTGCAACTCTGACAGCACTATGACCAATGAAATTTTTTTATTTTTTTCCAATCAGTAGACCGTGGGGAATGAATTAGTTATTCGTATACAGTTCAGAGCGCTGTTTAGGATGAAATTAACAGGTCTTTTTATTTGGAAATGCTCAATTTAATTCTGCTTGCAGTAATGCATAAAAATCAAAGATTTTCGACCCAAAATTGGAGTGCAAAGTTTTGCTTAAATAAACATGGAAACTCCAAAATGCCAAAATCGGAGTGATTGGCATGTCTGCATTTCTTGATGTGAAATGATATATTTGTGATATATTGAAGATGTTACTGTAGAATGAAACAGGAAGTTTCTACATAGATTAGACCCTTTATGTTAATATGCTGCGACTTTTATATACTTATATACTCTAAGGTCTAGAGGTCATAAGGTCTACCTTGCTGTAACAAAGTGATGAATTAGGACTGCTAAAATGTTGATCGGTTGGTAGGTAGGGAAGTTCTTGTTTGTTTTGTTCTTTTGTTTTTGTTTTTTTTTTGTTTTTTTGCTAATTTAAAACTTGTAATGAAAAGACCTCTTGATACATTTCAAGTCTTCAAATTCCCCATAGAGAGCAAGGCCTCATTTTAACTTGAAGATTTTACAGTGTAGTGTTTGATCAGGTGGAATGTATACACTCTTACAATCCCCTGTACGAACAGACAAAAGAAAGACAAAATAATTACACACAAAACATAGGCCTAGCTGAATTTGAATTGCGGACGATAAGACGATATTTTGTGACTTTTTTTTTATGTAGAAAAGGACAGATCAAAAACTATTCTTTTTTACATTGCCTTTTAGTCAAACCACATGAATCTAGGTGAAACAATGTCATGTGTTCGAAACAGCTACGAAAATCCAGAATAAATATCGACAGTAAAGTTATTTTTCCCACAATTAAACTGAAATATGGAATTATATTCACTTCGTAAGATGAAGACTTAGGTAATCTATGTTGTTACAACTTTTCAGACAGGTAGATTGCGAATCCCCAACGTTATCTGACATAATGTTACATCATTTTGGTTGTAAGCATAATAATAAAGCATAATTATAATATACTGTAGATACAAAAAAAAACATACCAGGTGTTTCTATATGACTCTTAGGAACAGCAAGTCCTGATAATTTTGCTACAGTACTGGTTTTACCAACACCAGCTTTGCCCGATACAAAAATCTTGTATGAAACATTATCATAAATTAAGCCTGCTGGTAATGCTGGAGATTCAAGAGAACCTAGAAAGACAACAATACACAATCAATAAATTTACAAATAAAATTACTTTCATTTTAGATGTATGTACTATTTTCATTTTTCACTATCATGATTATTATTGTTTTTTATTTTGTACTTTTTCTCATTCAACACAATACTGTTGCTTTATGTTTTCAGTTATTTTCTACACCATTTCTTTCTGCCTACATCAATGTACAGATTTGTTTTGTGTACTGTGTTGCTTTGTTTTTCTTTTACATCCTACACCACTACTATTTTTTTATTTTATGAAACTGACCACGAGCTGTCTCTTATACACATTTAGATGTGTATAAGAGACAGCAGTAGTACTCAGGTACATTTAAAATATTTATTTAACAAACACAAAAACACACACAAAATGTCATTTACAAATTATAGATTATTACTGTTTGTCACAATACCACTTGATATCATTTTATCACTTTGTTATCATTGCAAAAAGCGTTCATGCGGATGCCCTTTTCTTCACTGACAAACCATTGATCCCAATTTCTAACATAATTATTAAGAAGTTGTATCTTAATTTTCATTGCAAATGTTAATTGATGATAACTAATATAATGCAAGCTTTTTGTGTTTTTAGTACATTTTGATGGTAAATTATTAGGTTTTAAAATGCCTATTCCAAAAAGCCTATTCTAAACTATTAAGATTATGAGGTCATTCAGGCATAACCAACGACCAAAGGCGCCACCTGGTGCTGCGACGACACGACTGTGGTACTCTATAGAGTTCAGTGTGCAACTCTGACAGCACTATGACCAATGAAATTGTTTTATTTTTTTCCAAATCAGTAGACCGTGGGGAATGAATTAGTTATTCGTATACAGTTCAGAGCGCTGTTTAGGATGAAATTAACAGGTCTTGTTCTTATCTAAATCATATGATTTTATTATTTGGAAATGCTCAATTTAATTCTGCTTGCAGTAATGCATAAAAATCAAAGATTTTCGACCCAAAATTGGAGTGCAAAGTTTTGCTTAAATAAACAGGGAAACTCCAAAATGCCAAAATCGGAGTGATTGGCATGTCTGCATTTCTTGATGTGAAATGATATATTTGTGATATATTGAAGATATTACTGTAGAATGAAACAGGAAGTTTCTACATAGATTAGACACTTTATGTTAATATGCTGCGACTTTTATATATTTATATACTCTAAGGTCAGAGGTCATAAGGTCTACCTTGCTGTAACAAAGTGATGAATTAGGACTGCTAAAATGTGTCTCTTATACACATCT